GATATTTATATATATAATACCTTATTTTTAATATTTTAATTTTAACTTACCCATTATCTTTTTCTTCCTTCGTATACCAAGTTTGCAAAAAATCTCTTGCATCGTGACTCATTAGGTATAAGAATTTCGTGTACAAAGTATAAACTCCACATTCTAAATATTTCTCTGGCATTAATTGATTAAGAGATTTAATAAGCAATAATTTCTCTTGAAAATTATAGTTATTCGTAGTAAGCACTGAATAATCGATATTATGATTCAGTTCATTTTCAATAGATCTCAAGTTAATTTCACTAATTATCATACCCATTGGCATGTTTAAAACTATATGCGGGGTCGGCCGATTAATATAAAATGTAACATTGGACTCGCCGCCAAAATAACTTGTTACTAACGATATTTTTAAATTGTAATGTAGTGGAATTATTTTATTTGAGAAATTATAGTTCAGTATATTAGGCCACTTTATCGTATTTTCATTTTTTTCCGTTGAAAAAGCCATTACAAATAAAATAGTGTATAAGAAACTATTTAATGACAACCATTTTAAGAAGTTCATCATTTTAGTTTCTGATATCTGCAAAAACATTTTTTTGATAAGAAAATATGGTGCAGGAAACAAAAATAGAGAATAAGTAAATACAAGGAAAACGCGGAACTGTCGATTTTCGCATGAAAAAGAACACATAGAAAAAAAAATTACGACGGTTTAAAAAAGAATATATAATATATGTATATCTAAATTGTTTCAATAATTTTTACTAGAGATTTATATATGCGCTGTATTTTATACATTTTTATAAATAAATTAGAAATGTGATTTATTCAAAATACGAAGTATATGTAAATTGTCATTTATAGTTTCAGCATGTATATTAAATTGTTATATACTCGTTTGTTCTAATATTGAAAAATCTGTAAATAAATTTTATTTCTTGCAAACTTATTTTTCAAAATTATCAAGGTTATGAATGCCTTTTTCTTTTTATATTCTTTTTTGTAGTGCAATTAAGTATATATTTCTATGTCGTATATGTATATTATAGCATTATAAAATACACACAAAATCGCGCACGCAATTAACAAGATACATCATAAAGTTTCCTTAAAAAATCTTGTAAGAGATTACTTAGATTCAAACGAAACATGTGTAAGTAATGTGTCAAATAATTTCCTCTAATAACGCTTTGTCTTGATAATCCGACGTATGTTTATCAATATGTTGTTATTATAAAGGTTTGTCATTTATAATCGTAAGTCGTGTATACACGAAAGAAACAAAGGCTAACAAAGTAGCGCTGTTGCAAAATTATACTTATTTGAATATATGTTTAATGGACAAATTAAACTAAACGTGAATAAAAAACGTAAAAAAATTTTTCATTATTATTTATTACGATATAAACATTATTTTAAGAAGATAAATTAACATTTATTTTTACATTTATTATAAATTTATCTTTTTATTTAACATAACGTGCGGAAACTGACTCAATATATCCATTAGGAAAAAAATGTATCAAACAGAGCATAAGCAATTTGTTTCTGATTTTTAATTCTTTTTATAATGATTGAAAAAAGCTGTTATAATTGACGCTTGAGTGTCTTAATGTTTATTGTAATATGCAAGAAATAGAAATGAAAGTTGAAATAGAAAATAGTGTTAATTTTTCTTGAAAACTGATCACAGAATATTTATTGGAAAAAAAGAATACTGTATAATCCCGTATTCTTTATATATTTCTATATACATATTTATAAAAAGGAATACCTTAATATCCTGTATTTGATTTATCTAGTTTGTTGAATCTGCCACGAGCCGTTACTTTTAGGCAAATGTTTATACGTTCAATCGTGATATTTTCGCTTCAAAGGACCATCGAAACTAAGGTTTTCAGTATAATATAACGTATCAATTACATAATGTCATGTAAATACTTTCTTAAGGTTATACGTAATCGAGTGTGTTATTAGAACTTACTAACAACAAGTCGATAAAATACATAGTTCAACAGTTCTCGACAAATATATATTTTGTCTTTTATATTCCAAATTATTATTTTTGAAATGCATTTAAAAAATTCGACCAGAAAACTATATATTTTATGCAAAAAAAAAAATATATTTTGTACTTTTCTTTCATTTTTATACAGAATAATTTTTTGCCTCAATTTCTTACATTTTGTATAAAATAAGTACGTTTCAAATTTTTTTCTACTTTTGATGG